GTCCTGGCCTGCAAGTTTGGGCAGCATCATTACTGGTCCAAGCGAGAGTTGGAGAAGCTGAACTGCTACGAGCACCTCTCCCCCGTTGTCACCAACCGCTACTGGCACCGCCTACTCAGCATTCGCGAGAAGGTGTACCACGAGCTCGTGCTCGAGTTCTACACTACCTTCGAGCACGCAGCCACGGACGATTGGAAGGACGAAGAAGCCGTCCAGTTCTGGCTCGGCGGTGTACCACGATCCATGAGCTACGACGAGCTGGCGAACGCCCTCGGCCTCAACCTGGTCAATGACAGGGACTACCTCACCGAGAGCGCCGAGCCAGCGGGGGTGGACTTCGGGAGGCTGTACTTCAGCCTCGCTCGGCCACGTTAGCTTCCCTTCAAGGCGGGGAAGACGAAGGCCAGCACATTGCAGCTCGACAATCGCATCCTCCATCACATGTTGGCCAAGTCTTACACCCCAGCCTCAGATAGTGCCAGCGCCATCACCAAGAGATCCCTGTACTTCATCCAGTCCATGCGCCAGAGGGATCATCCCCTCCACTTGGGCTCGGTGGTGGCGAGGACCTTCGAGAAGAGTGCTTCTGAGCTGAAGAAACTTCACTGCACTCCCCTCATCCCCCGCCTGGCAGACTACTTCCAGATATCCCTGCAGGGGTGCACAGAGCAGGGCGAGACCACTGCCTTTGGCTGGTTTACGATCAGTAAGATGCAACTACTTCGAGAACAGCATGGTGTTATGTGGATCGAGGGGTTTCCTCAACCCTCAGATCCCAGAGGAGGCCCAGCCGGAGGGTGCAGAGGGTGCGGCTGATGAGGAGGTCCAGCCCGAGGACGTGGATGATACTGCTGCCGCCCGCCCCACCACCTTCGAGTATGGGGGTGGCAGTTCCAGCTTCCCCGGCCAAGACTACTTCTCTCAGCAGTTCGAGCAGCTGCGTCTCCAGAACCAGCAGCTCTATGACTATCAGATGCAGTTCCAGCAGCAGTATTCGGTACACCATGCCGAGTACCAGTCCCGGATGGCTGTGTATGATGAGCGCCTGGACAGGATGGAGACCCAGCAGGGGATAGCTTTGGCGCGCATCGAGAGGGAGCAGGCCCGAGCTCGCCGCATGCAGGAGGTACAGGGGCATCTGCTCCAGCTGCTACCGGGTTAGCAGCCAGTCTGGAGGACTCCCTGGGAGGACTCTCCACTTCCACCTCCACCAGCTGATGACGATGATGCATTCATGAATGAGATCGATCTGGACAACCTCGGCGACGAGTAGGCTGTACTTGTCGCCCCCCTTAGTGTGTGATTTTATTTTTGTTTGAGACTTTTTTCTGTTTGCTCCATGTGTTGAGGAGCTTGAACTTAGTTTGTCGTGTGTTTTGTTTCTTTTTTTTTTTTTTGTGGATTGTTTCTTTTGTGGCCATCTGGGCCTACTCTGATCCCTAACGAACATGTGCTAGTGTGTTCTTGATGTTCCCTTAGTGCAGAACTGTCCGTTCGTTCCATATGTCTCACGTTGATTGGTCCGCTTCCAGTCCCCCGCAGCATTTCGATCCGGTAACATCGTTCCCCTTCTCTATCCCTCTGCTCAATTGAGGGCAATGTCGTGCTTAAGTGTGGGGGGGGGGGGGTGCTTTGTATCTGTTGGAATGTATATACGTGTGCTTGGAGCCTAGTCCACTGTCCAAATCTCGAGATGTGAGGGCTCCAAGTACGGCTGTTTGATCATATTGGCACTGTGTTTTGATTGGTGAATTGAATGGTTTTCGGATTGATGCATGACGACTGGATAGTGACTAGGACAACCTATAATGATGACTGAGACGTGCAGTAGAGTTGTGTAGGGGTTCAGTTTTTCAACTGTTTGCTTACCAACTGTGACTTGGATTGATTACTTGCTTTTGACAGTCTCTTATGCATCTAGTTCAGGGAATCAGAATGAGAGATAGAGCATATAGGTAGCCATGTGAGATTTGAGCCTGCTCGTTTCTTTCTTGTGCGATAGTTCCATCTTCCATGATGTGTAGCATTCACGTTGTCATTAGCTAAGATGATGGAGGCATAGGATTAGCCCACGACCAAATTGACTGTCCTGGTGTGTCATACCCCCTAGTCAGCCCCTTTGAGCCGTGTGTTATCCTTTCTTTCGGTCTTCAATGAAAAGTCACCCTTTTGCATCTGTTAGAAGGTTCCACAGAGTGATTTTTACATGTTCTCTGCTGTTTCTGCTAAATGTAATGTGAGAGTTGGAGGTAGTTCTTAAAAAGTTGGGCAGGTGTTTGAAAATGTGAAGAGGTGGTGGTTCTCTTAAGAAATGGAAAAAAATGAAAGAAAAACAAAGAAAAAATGAAAGCAAAAGTGAGCCACCACCAAAAATCTGAATAGTGCCCATTAAGTAGTGTTTCTTAGCAGTCTGGCTTAGAAATACTGGTATTTATGTGACCTCCTTCGCTCTTGTGCTTTGAATTTGAGTGACGCAGAATAGCAGAAAGAAAGTACTAGTTTGATTGACTGTGAGTTTGTTGGGTTTGGAATTGTGGAATCTTGTGCTATGAATACTTTCACCACCTAAAAGGCCTTTTCCCCATGTCCAAGACCATAACCAGTCATTTGAACCTGTGTCTAAGACCTCCTGATTAGTTAGTGATGACAACCATTTATGTGAACTCTAACCTTTAGAGGCTGCCGTCATGGTGAAGAGATGTTAGGAATTGAGAGGAATAGTATGCGCATTTTTCGCATCAAATTGTCCTGACCCCACTGGTCGGGAGTGAGCGATTCATTTCCTTTTTCTTTACACTATTTACCCGGTGAGGACATAGATTGCTCGGTCTCTATTCTGATATCTTGAGTTTTGTGCATGAGTTGACTGTCTTGAGTGAGTGATTGAGTCAAGTCTAGGTTGGTTGATGAACAGAAGGGAGACTCCTTCTTTATTTGATTTTGCTGCACTCGAATGTCTTCTGTGGTGGTTGTCCAGGTTGCTATTGAGGTTGTTCATGTGTTGATGTTTGAAAACTAATATGATTCACGTGGTTTGTGCCTATATGATTTGTCCCCAATGTTGGTTGATTGAAATATGTGAGCTTACCTTGTGTCTGACTTGGTTTGCTTGGGGACAAGCAAACGGTTAAGTGTGGGGGAGTTTGATAAGCCGTTAATTGCACATGTTTTACCCCTATTCTGGAGCCGTTTGGGATGGTAATTCTCGTGTTTTAGGCCGATTTCACGCTGGGTTGTGTTTGTTTGTGATATTTCAGGTCCTAGCAAGTGAATGAAGGTTTAGGAGCGAGTTCGGGGTCGATTGGACGAAGATCGGGCGCGAGGCAAGTCGAAAAGGAAGCCACACGGGCACACACACAACTCACACGGTCGTGCAAGTGACCACTTTGGCCGTGTGAGATTGTGCGAGCCTTCACACGGCTTGCCCTGATATCCACACGGCCGTGTGAAGGAGTGGTTTGAACGTGTGGAATTATGCGAGGCTTCACACGGCCAGGCAGGGTGATCCACACGGCCGTGTGACCCTGGCCGTGGAGGAAGCCTGAAGTGCAACTAATCGGGACGCAGCGTTTTGAAGTCACACGTGCAACTGGGTATGTCACACGGCCGTGTGGCCCTGCCCGTGTGAGTCGGGAATTCCTGGTTTTAACCCAATTTCGGGCTGCAAGAGAGAGGATCGGACTTTTTGAGCAAAAACAGAGCCCTAGAGAGAGAAAGGACGAAGAACACATCCTAGAAGCTATCTTGGAGCTGGGTTTCATCAAATCGAGCTTGGAGATCGTCATAGGAGTGGAAATCATCATCCCATAGCAGTTTCTTCCCATTGTAATGAGTATGACTGCTTTGTACCTTGTTTTCCTCTCTCTCTCTATGGAGTAGAACCTCTCTCTCACTTGGGATGAAGAACCCTAGTTCTATGTGTTAGGGATTGATTGTAATGACTTGGGATGATATTACTGTTTGATTTTAATCGAATGATGCATGTTTATTGAGTCAATTGAAGTCTGATCAACTTTTCCTGATTTCTGCTGCAATCTGAGATAGATAGAATCTGATTAGGTTGCTAGAGTCTCATCATTCGGTAGTAGGAGATTGGCTATACGAGAGTTATTTAGTTTACTGCTTTGTACTGGAATCCAATTCCAGTAGTGGAGTTCTGTTCTTACCGCTTCAGCTTTCTATCCCGGTGAAGACTAGTCGTCTGCCGGGTAGTTAGACTGAGAGGGCTTGGTCAGCTTAAGAGATTCCAAGCTACTGTCGGATCTTCCGCAGTCTAATCAACAGTAAATCAACCCAGGGTAATTACAATTGAAACCTAACTAAGGAGCTAGGGGGACTCATTCCCGAGTGACTCTTACCTGCTTGAGAAAACCGTACCGATTCCTGCTTTTTTCTGCTTTTGCTTTTAAACAACAAACACTTAACTTAGTTGGCTAGATAATAGATAATCACTGAGTAAGCAGTAGATCTAGACCCCGGGTTGATAATAGAACTTGCCACTTTACTGCATTCCCGGTCTGCGATTACACTTGGTCGCAGATTGGTGTTGTGTTTTAGAGCATCAAAGGGTGAGCTTCTTGCTTTAGTTTGTTCTTAAGTTAATTTAGCTTTTGTGCCTATGGATACTTTATGGGTGGATTCTGGTGCTACCACTCACATAAGTGTATCTTTGCAGGGCTACCTGTGGAGCCAGCCACTAAGTAAGAACAAAAAGTTCATCTATGTGGGGACCGTGGTAGAGAATACTATGGTTGATATGATGGATTCGGAGAACAAAGTCCACGACCCTTCGCGCTTTACCTCAAAGAGTGTGGAATTGTGCCTCAATACACCATGCTAGGATCACCTAGCATGAATGGTGTTGCAGAAAGGCGCAATCAAACTCTTAAAGACATGGTAAGAAGTATGCTTTGTCATTCTTCCTTACCAGAGTCACTTTGGGGGAAAGCTCTAAAGACTGATGTATACATCCTTAATAGGGTACCAAGCAAAGCAGTAACTAAAACCCCTTATGAGCTATGGACATGCAAAAATCCTAGCATTAGGCACTTGCACATTTGAGGTTGTCCAGCTGAGGCAAGGCCTTATAAGCCGCATGAAGGAAAGTTGGACTCAAAAACTGTAAGTTGCTAATTTGTTGGTTATCCTCAGTACCCTCGAGGCTACAAATTTTACAATCCCACCTCACGATCATTCTTTGAAACAGAAAATGCAAGATTCCTTGAGGATATTGAGTTTTGGGGGGAAGGAAACATAAGAAATGTTGTCTTTGAGGAAGTACAAGTCAATGATAGTGATCACGTTATCATACCTATCACTAGTCCTGACATAGTTATGGAACAAGGCAACAATGAAATTCCTCCTCCTATACCACCTGTGGAACAAAATCAACATCCTCAAGAAGTGCCACTTAGGAGATCCACTAGGGAAAGAAGAAGTGTGATTCCGGATGATTATGTCATCTTTCTTCAAGAACATGAGGATGACATAGGCTTGATGGAGGATGATCCTATCAACCTCGCTCAAGCCATGCGTAGTTCTAACTCTGAAAAGTGGAATGATGTCATGAAAGAAGAGATGAAGTCTATGTAGGCCAATGGCGTTTGGGATATCGTTGAATTGCTTGAAGGAGTAGTTCCTATTGGTAATAAATGAATATTTAAAACCAAAAGGGACTCTAAGGGCAATATTGAGTTATTTTTTACCAGTCAACACTATATGGTAGGGGTGGAAGTTTGGGTTGCGGGTTGTGGATAATCCACAAACCGCACCAACCCGTACCTATTGTGGGTAACCATACCCACAAGTTCTGGGTAGTGGGTTGGGTGTGGCTAGTAAAATAACGATTTTTGTGGTTAGTGGTTAACCCACAAAATCCACAATAACCACACTAATTATATTTATTTAGTGAATTAACTTTATAATATAATAGTATGTGAAAAGTGTGAGGATAAAAATTAAAGTAGCCACCAAATAAAAAAGACACACCTTTCGATAAAGTGGAGAATAATCAATTTATTAAAAGTAAACACCTTTCGTAACTTTAATCAGTATGTTTTTGCTTTTGTGTGAAAAAAATACAAGATCATATTTAATTGTCATATTTCACCCCTAGTCGGGGAAATATGAAATCACAACTCTCTGACACAAAAGTAGAATACCAAACTCAAAAAGAAAAAATCTTCACGTTGAGTAAGATCGATGTACAAAATTGTATCTCCACGAACAACACAAGTGTATATCACTATAGTCTAGTTACGAACAACAAATACGTTAGTGGCGACTAGAACTCTATGCTTGCAAATATGGATTTTTGCGGGTAACCACACCCAACCCGCACAAACCCACAGTGGGTAGTGGTTACTTACTAACCACTGCGGTGCAGGTTGTGGGTAGCATAATTGTAAATTTGTGGGTGTGGGTACCCGCAAAATGTGGGGCGGGTAACCACACCCACCCCAATTTCCACCCCTACCATATGGTATGCTCCTATTTAATACCATATGGTAAAAAAACGTATCATGATAGTATAAACATACCAAGACAGTAGGAAGGTTGAATACATGATAGTAGGAGTATACTAACTGTCATTTACGACTTTCATCATTGTTTACCACAAGTTACCACCCACATACCAGAGTGGTAAAGTATGATAATTTGTTCCTGTATTTTTTTCACCCAGAAATTTGTAGATCCAATAGATCATGATGAACTCGTTCCTTCTGAGCAAATATTTTAAAAAACGACTTAAAAATGAAGAAGTTACCATATGGTATTTAGTTGGTAACGGGAGGTATGAAAAAAGTTTCTCGAAATATATTGAAAATTGATCTCATTTTGTAGAGCACAATGAACTCGTTCCATCTGTGCAATAAAAAATGAAATCCGAGTTAGAACGAAGAAGATAAGAGTCGATTAAGAAAACTAGGGAAAATAAAATGCATTTAATTCACAACCTTTAGATCTGGATTTTCTGGGCCTACTTAGATCTAACGGTCCAGATTTAGTTACTCATAGGTCAGTAACTAATGATTACTGACCGTATCCCAAGCCTAAGAATACGACTACAACAATAGCAAACCTGGGATGGGAGTCTTCCATATTTGGATTTAATACATATGTTTGGAACACCCTCATCTTTAAGATAGAAACCTAGAGGAAGAGGTTCTGCAAGTTCGATCCCCACCAGAACTCTTATGAAGCTAACAGAACGACCCTCAATAGCTCCCATCTCATCTCCTCTAATGATATCCTTGAAAATTATATTGAAAGGGTGGCCACATTTTCCTCATATCTAAGATCCTCTAGAAAGTGATGAATTTCTCATATCTTAACTTTGTCTTTCAGTGAGTTGAAACTGATGACGAAAATGTGATACTTGACTTCTGCTACTGAAGGTTTACTAATCTCCCTCCGATTCATACATAGTGTAAGTTCCATCGGAGCTAGCCTTGTAATCAACTTTCCCCCTAATATTTCACTAGTTTTCCTCTCATTAGAGCCTCTTTTTGTTTTACTGTATGAAGGGAATCAGCTATACCTAGGGATTTACCACTTGGTTTTTCCTTATAAGGTTTTTAATGAGGTAGTTAGTGATATGTCGATCAGTTGTATTTTTTCCTTCACTGGAATTTTTTTCTCATTGGATTTTCCCTAACAAGGTTTTAACGACTTCATCTAACATTCATCCAATAGAAAGTATAGAAAAATATTGATGGATGGTTATATTAGATGCACACATTAGTACACAAATAAATGTTATATGAAATTCCTCACGCACGTTTGAATTTGCGTTTACTTGCTTATTATCCTCATTATACACATTGATGATAGAGTTATATGTTGTATAGATTTTGTGTTTATAAATAAAACAATTATTGCATCAGCAATGCAAATGAATAAGAAGAACCGAGGCTCGTTTTTTTTTCTCACTACACTTTGCCATGGCTCAAAAAGTGCATTTAGGCAACACCAAAATGCCTCTCCTAGGGTATTGTCACATGTGGCAGATGACATGGCGCCAACAAGGCGGCTGCACATGTGGCATGCATGGAAGACTAGTAGCATAGAGATGCTCCTAGGATTCTCCACCTAAATGAGAGCTTAATGGTGCACTTATGGGCTACATTATGGGTAGCATTATTAGAGTGCATTATGGGGGCACTTTATGGGGTGTATTGATGTAGAGGGACCATTATGAGGGGCATTGATGCCTTGTATGAGGAGAGGCCTATATAAGGAGCCATCTCCCTCACTTGTAACTCATTCCATCATTTTTTAGAGTAATACACACTAGAGAGTTCTCCCAATCCTTTGTCTTTGTTCTTGTTCTTTGCTTGCTTGTGAGTTTGAGAGAAAGGCGTCCTAGCGCTCTAACGGAATTGAGAGCTAGGGCCTCCCGATCGAGAGTAAGGTCGTGACAAGTGGTATCAGAGCCTGGTTCGGCTTTGTGCTAGCAAAGTTGAACCTAGAGCCAGAAGGAAAGGAAGAACCTCACCAAAAATGTCGGGATCAGAAGTCAATGACGATGAGAAGCATCGTGGCCGAGAGCCTACCCCAACCGGGAGGCCAAAAGACAAGTCGAGCACTCGTGATCCTCTCAGATCTCTAGAGAGGCGAGTCTCGAGGATGGAGGTGAAGCTTTCTGAAGATATCACCGCCATCGAAGATTTGGGAGCTAACTTCACCCAAGTCGAAAGCAATTTTCAAGGTATGAATGCTCGTTTGTCGAGCTTGGAGATTGGTCATGATGGCATATGAGAAGAGCTTGTGGCCCTCATCAACAACACCATCAACACATCCTTGAACAACGCCATTGAAGTTGTGAAAGAGCACGTCCAGCCTGAGCTGGTCGGCGTGAAGGAGGAGATTGCAGATCTCAAGAGTGAGGTCACTCTCGTGAAGAGAGCCATGGCTAGCGGACCAGCCACGGTGCAATCCGTCCCACGTGCTGATATTCCAAGACCTAAGAGCTTCGGAGGTTCAAGGAGTCTTGAGCAGTACTTCAAGGCGTCTGGCATCCAAGAGGATGAGGTAAAGATTCGCACCGCTCCACTTTACTTGGTTGATGTTGCCATGGTGTGGTGGAGGCGACGTGAAGCGGACGTCGAAAGAGGTACTTGTGTGATGGTAACGTGGGAAGATTTCAAGAGAGAAATCAAGAGGCAGTTCTACCCGGAGAACGTGGAGTTTGAAGCCCGTTCGAAGTTGAGAAGACTCACCCAGAGGGGTGGAGTTCGAGAATACGTGAAAGAATTCTCGGAGCTGCTTCTAGAGATCCCGGACATCACGGACAAGGAGGCCATGCACGGCTTTCTTGATGGGCTGCAACCATGGGCCAAGATGGAGATGCAACGTCGAGGAGTGCAAGACCTTGCAACTGCCATGGCCACGGCAGAGTCTTTTGTCGAGGACAAAAGGCAAGAGAGCAGCGGCAAAGAGAAGAGTTCTAAGCCCAACAAGGGTGGAGAACAGCAGAAGCCTTTCAAGGAGGGTTCTCGCACTCAACAACACCAAGGTGGTTCGAGCAAAGGGGGTAAGTACGAGCCAAAACCCATGACTTGTTTCCTTTGCGACGGACCACATCGAGTGCGAGATTGCCCAAGGAAGGCGAGAGTGGCGGCCATGGAAGCTCAAGATGAGGAGCCCAAGGAGGCGGAGGCCAAGATTGGCTCAATCCGCAAGCTTGGCGCGGTGAAGACCGATGTCAAGGAGAGCAAGCGGGGGAGGTGCTATGTTCTGGCGCAATTCATGCAAGGCGAGTCAAAAGCCTTGGTGGATACCGGTGCCACGGACAACTTTCTTCGCATCGAGGAGGCAAACCGGTTGGGTATTGCCTACGAGAAGGGACAAGGGAGGCTCAAGACGATCAACTCTGAGTCCATCCCGATCCATGGAGTTGCTCACAACGTACCAATGAAGCTTGGCGAGTGGGAAGGCCTCATCGACTTTTCCGTCGTCACCATGGACGATCACCCAGTCATCCTCGGCATCAACTTCCTCGACAAGGAGGGAGTGCTCTTGAAGCCCAACTCCAACACGATGTGCTTGGAGAAGGAAGGGGAGTTTCATGCGGTCCATCTCTTGAGAGAAGATGGTCCCCATAGTGCTCTATCCGCTATGCAAGTGGTGAAGGGGTTCAAGAAGAATGAACCAACCTTTCTTGTGTCCTTGAAAATGGAGGAAGAAGGAGGCTCAACGGGAATCCCAACTCCCATCATCGAAGGCGTCCTCGAAGAGTTCGATGACGTGATGCCATCGGAGTTGCCCAAGAAGCTGCCACCAAGAAGAGAGGTGGATCACAAGATCGAGTTGGAGCCAGGAGCGAAGCCCCCTTCGCGAGCACCATACCGCATGTCGCCACCGGAATTAGAAGAATTGCGGAGGCAACTCAAAGACTTGGTGGAAGCAGGCTACATGCAGCCATCGAAGTCACCTTTTGGAGCACCGGTGCTGTTCCAAAAGAAGAAGGAAGGGTCGTTGCGGATGTGCATCGACTATAGAGCCATCAACAAGTTGACGGTGAAGAACAAGTGGCCGATTCCCAACATTGCCGACTTGTTCGACCAGCTTGGAGATGCGATGTGGTTCATCAAGCTTGATCTTCGCTCGGGCTACTATCAAGTGCGGATAGCAGAGGGCGACGAGCCAAAGACGGCTTGTGTGACGAGGTATGGCTCTTACGAGTTTCTAGTGATGCCATTCGGTCTCACCAACGCACCAGCCACGTTTTGCACTTTGATGAATCAAGTGTTCGAGCCATTCTTGGATCGGTTTTTCGTGGTCTACTTGGATGACATCGTCGTGTATAGCAAAACACTCGATGAGCATGCCGAGCATCTACGCCAAGTCTTCCAAGTCCTTCGCGACAACGAGTTGTACGTCAAGAGGGAAAAGTGCACATTTGCCGCCACGGAGGTTCCATTCTTGGGGCACATCATTGGTGGAGGCAAGTTGAAGATGGATGGAGCGAAGGTGCGGGCAATCCAAGAATGGGAGCCGCCGACGAAGGTGCCAGAGTTGCGGTCA